CCTTGGCCCTGTGCCGGTGGCCCCCGCGTCGGTCCGTGCCGCTGACAGGTAGCACCACCTGTGGGTCCCCCCGATGCCGGCCAACTTCGCCTCACTCCATCCCACCTCCAACCTTCCTCCGAAGGGCAGCTGGGGCTGCCTGCGTGCCTCAGTTTCCCCCCACCCCAGCGTCTCGCTGAGCACGGCGGAGCCAGGGGCGCAAAAGCCGGGCAAACCATCGGCGCAGGCACCGGGAGAGGAAAGCCAAGATTTACCCGTCCCCATCCTCCCCCCGCAACAGCTTTAATTATAGATTTCCAGTAACGCCAAAAAATGAGAAAACTCCCAGCCGTGGCCCAAAACCTGGTTTCTATGGAGATTTACGGAAAGGGAACGGAGGGATAAATAGGTCCAAAGATGCCAAACTTTGGCCAAAGAATATACGGCTGGTGCACGGATCCGTCCCTTGAGCTGTCCCCAAAGCGAGGACAAGTTTCTGGAGGATGCTTGGAAGGGATGGGGGGGTTTTTACGCAAGCGTCCCTGGGAACGTGACCCCGATGTTTCCCTCCGGGGATCCCCCTCCATCCCCGATGACTTTTTTGGGGTGCGGCCACCCTGCTTGGGGAGCAGCAGGTGGGGAAGGCAGCGGCCAGGGCGCCAGGGGCCGCGTTCCCACGACTCCTCTGCTCCCGCGAGGTGCTATATTTAAATCAATATTTTCCTGTTTAATCCGAATGCTGCTAAGTCAACAAACAGAGCATGGCAGCGAACATACCTAATTTTCCATCCTGTGCTGGATTCGGCCACAGGGAAAAGAAAGATGCAAGGGGTTGCCAGCCTGGCATCCCGCTCATGCCTTCACCGAGCAGCAAATGGACCCCAAATGCACCCCAAATGCACCCTTGCTCGGTGCCGGGCTGCTGCACACACGTGTGCATGGGTGTGGACACATGTGCTGGCCCATCCCAGCAGCTCATGGGATGCTGGAGGCAGAAAAACTTCTCTGTCTTGAGGTTTTTTTGGGGTTTTTTGTCTTGCTTTCTTGAAAGCATCCTTTCTTCTCGCGGCCCCCGCGCCGTGCACCAGAGCGGGACGTGCTGCTAACGGCTCCTGGGGAATTAAAAGCCTCGTGCCCGGCATCAGACACAGGGTGAAGGAGCTCTTCGGCACCCAGGGTGGCTTGGCCGGCTCCAGCCCCACGGAGGATCGCTGGAAAGCGCCCAGGACAAACAGTCCTGCCGTCGAGGGAGAACAGCACGTTACCTCTCCCTCAGCTGGGACACGCCGGGCAGCCCAACCCAGCAAACAGCCGGCACGGCAGCGCTCCCCCCTGCCAAAGCCACCCCCAAACCATGGGGGCCGGGAAAATATCTTGGGGGAACGATGCTGTAGGGATGCTGGTCCCCAGGAGAATATCTGGGGGGAACGATGCTGCAGGGATGCTGGTCCCCAGGAGAATATCTTGGGGGAATGATGCTGCAGGGATGCAGGAGCCCAGGAGAATATTTTGGGGGAACGATGCTGCAGGGATGCTGGTCCCCAGGAGAATATCTTGGGGGAACGATGCTGCAGGGATGCTGGAGCCCAGGAGAATATTTTGGGGGAGCATCGCTGCACACTTGCCGGACTCCATTATTAATCCCTTCCCAGCATCGTCTGCTGGGGACGGGCACCAGGACGGACGGACCACCACCGTGATGCGGGACGGATGCTCCAACGCCCCCAAATCCCCCAAGCAGCGATGACCGCTTCCCCCAAGCAGACGACTGGCCTCGCGATGCCGGCCCTCTCCATTGAGTTAGGGAGGGGGGGTGGGGGGGGAAAAGCTTATTTCTTTGCCGTCGGTCAGGGAGCACGTAAATCTCCGCTCCCAGCCAGCCGTCCTGGTGCCAAGTTATATCCGGTCCTCGATGCTCTTGCCTATAATTAAAGCAACTCCCTTGCAGGGCTCGGTCCCCCTCCGCCCCCCCCCAGCCCCGGCTGGTGCCATCTGAAATAAAACATCCCAGCTCCGCAATATAATAAATCAAAAAAAGAAATAAAAATCCTGGTTTCAGTTATGTTATGGCTGCAGCACAAAGAAATTCAAAGGCAGGAGAGAGATTTGAAGATACAGCCGCGGCGTTGCCCTTAAAAGGGAAAATTCGCACCCTCTTCGCCGAGGCCGGCGGGTTCAAGCAAGGTGAGGAGCAGCATCCCCGGGGTCCAGCCCCGCGGGGGGGCCCATGTCCCCGAGGGGATGCTCGGCCAAACTGGGCTCCCAGTTGCCAGAGCCCAGTGCTGGAGTTGGTAAAAATCCACCCGAAATGATCCCAAAGTGACCAGTTGGGGGGTGTACGGGGAGTGCGGGGTCAGCAGAGCATCCCTGACACCGGGGCCATCACGGGGTGGGCACTGTGCCTGGGGCACAGCAGGGAGCTGCCTGAATAAGAAATATCTCTTTATAAATTATTAATATAAACCATATATTATATAAAAACGTATTAATAATTTAGTAAGAGAGATTTCTCTATAAAGAAATGCCGCCGGGTGCACTGCCTCACCTTGGGGACCTGCCGATGTCCCCAAGGTGCCGCCAGCCCCGGCCCTGGGACGTTCCTCGTTACCCTGCTTAATTATAACACTTGATGCTTCAATAGCACTTTTCACCCCGAGATCGGAGAGGACAAGCGCCTCGCTCTCAACTGGTACATCGGGTAAAAATGCTGCAAAATTCACCCAAAATTATTTCCAAGGATGTTTTACGCAGGAGCCAAGAGCTCCCCGTTCTCGGCCACCAACGGCTGTTGTCCGGCAATGGGGACAACAGCCGGAGAAGGAGCTGGATGGGAGGCAGAGCTCCCCAGGAGAATATCTTGGGGGAATGACGCTGCAGGGATACTGGACCCCGAGAGAATATCTTGGGGGAATGACGCTGCAGGGATGCTGGACCCCAGGTAAAGACCTTGGGGGAATGATGCTGTGGGGATGCTGGACCCCAGGAGAATATCTTGAGGGGATGATGCTGCAGGGATACCTGACCCCACGAGAGTATCTTGGGGGGATGATGTTGCAGGGAAGCTGGACCCCAGGAGAATATCTTGGAGTAATGATGCTGCGGGGATGCTGGACCCCAAGATAACATCTTCAGAGAATAACGCTGTGGGGATGCTGGACCTCAGGAGAATATCTTGGGGGAATGATGCCGCAGGGATCTGGATCTCGGAAGCGTGCAAAGAAAAACACCCCCGCTCCACGCGGCTCTGCCCTGGCCAGCGAGGGTTACACCGCCGGGCTCAGCCCCGGGGACTTCAC